AAAGTATTTGAAAAAAATGAACACAGTCTCAATAAGCTATGTGTCAATAACAAGTGGCAAAAACATATGTGAACTTGGAAACTCCCCCCCCAACACACCCAAACACACACACACACACACACACACACACACACACACAAGAAAGTAGGGCAGAAAAATACATCAAAAATCTTTTTCATGACAACTGGTCCAGCCTTTTAAAAAAACAATAGGGACGTTCCTCAAAAAACTAGAAATTGACATTCCATTTGACCCAGCAATATCACTTCTGGGAATATATCCTGGGGGATCCAAAAACACACAGCAGAAACAGTATCTGCATGCCTATGTTCACTGCAGCACTAATCGCCATAGCCAGAAGCTGGAAACAATCTTAGTGCCCAAGAACAGACAACTGGAAAAAAGAATCTACACATTGGAATACTACACAACTGTTAGGAAAAATGAGGTCATGAAATTTGCCTATAAATGGATGGACTTAGATAGTCTCATGTTCACTGAAATAAGTCAGAAGGAAGAGGATAGATACAGAATGACTGCATTCATTTGTGGGATATATAAAAATGTATGAAACTTACAGCCAAGGCCAGGAAAACTGATCAATGGTTGGAAATTACCACAACAGTGTGGGTGGTGGAGTGTAGTTAAGATAGAGGAGGGTCTATTATGACAACATTAATTGGAAACACTCTAGACAAGAACTGAGTGTTCAAAGTAGATAAAGGGATATACATGATAACCTTTCAGCATCTGTATGGCAAACCACAATGCCTAAAATGAGAGCGAGAAAGAGGAAGAGAGAGAAGAGAGGTACCTGACGTATAGGCAGGTGGGGATGGGGGATGGTTTGGGAGCGTGGGAGGGAAACTGGGGACACTGGTGCTGGGAAATTACACTGGTGGAGGAGAGAGTTAGAACACTGTATGACTGAAACCTAATCACGAACAGCTTTGTAATGCTCTTATCTCAAAGTGATTCAATAAAATAAAAATTAAAAAAAACTTTTCCAAATATGATAAAACTATCAATTGATCAACCATAAAAATATACAAAATCATACCTAGGCACATTATGGTCGGATTGTTAAAAAACAAAATATTAAGAAGATAATCTTAGAGAAAGTAGAGGTCTTATTTTTTAAAGACATATTACATATAGAGGAAGAATATAAAAATGACAGCTGCCTGAACAGTAAAAAAATGCAGGGGCCAGAGCAATAGTACAGTGAGGAAAGTGTATACCTTGAATGAGACCCACCTGGGCTTGATACTTAGCATCCCATATGGTTCTCTGTGAACCACCAGGAATGATTCCTAAATGTAGAACCAGGAATAACCCTTGAACATCGCTGGGTGTGGCCCAAAAAGGTAAAAGATAAAAAATAAAATTAAAAAAAAATCAGAAGACAGTAAATAACATTTTCAAAATGCTAAGAGATAAATGTCCCTTAGAAATAAAATTCTACATCTCAGTAATAGCCTGGCAAGCTACCCATGACATATTCACTATGCCAAACACAGTAACAACAAGTCTCAAAATGGAGATGTTACTGGGACCACTCGAGCAAATCGATGAACAATGGGAGGACAGTGGACAGTGGACAGTAAAATTATTCTTTGAAAAGAATAACAAAAAGCTGAAAGAATTCATAAGACTGAATAAAAATGACACTACCTGACAACTTGCATTTTCACAAAAGGAATAAATACAAAAATTAATTGACAGAAAATTTTAATGTTCTGTAAAAGGAAATGATTGCTTAATGCATTGTAGGCTCGTGACACATAAAAGTAAAATTGTCAAGAAATGGGGAAACGGAAATATTATATATATATTTGTAAGTTCTAACATTACAAAGAAGATGGAACACAATTCAAATATAGACTTTGACATTATGATATATACTGTAACTTCTAGAATAGTGTTTCTCAACTGGGAGTCATATAGGTGCTCCGTGGGCACCCCCAGTATATTTCAAGGGGGTTCATGGGTGAAAATCAACAGAGAGAGAGAGAGAGAGAGAGAGAGAGAGAGAGAGACTGTGTGTGCAGGTGGTGGTGATGGCACAAAACTAGGCAGGTCAAATCAGTGGAATGGGGCTCAAAGAAAAGAAACAAGGTCAAAAGTGGTCACAGTGGGGAAAAGGTCTAAAAGATAACATTAATCAAATAAGAGAAAGAAAAGTTAAAAGACTAACAGAGGACATTTAAAAGGATGCTAAAAAAGAAATAGTTTAGGGCTCAGGAGATAGTTCAAGGGCTGAACAAATGCTCTGCATACAGGTTCAGACCCCTGGTTAAAAATGGTCCCTTGAGCACTGCTGAGAATGACCCCCAAGCACAGATCTAGGACTACTCCCTGAGCACTGTCAGGTGTGGCCTCCAAACCAAACAAAAAAACAACAAAAATAGTGGACTGCTCCAAAATAAAAGGAAAGAAAAAAGAAATAAATAGAAATCTGGCAAACAAAAGAATAAAATGCTAAGCTTAAACCTAACTCTAGAACTAGTTACGCATTTCCACTGGCGAAACACTCCAATTAAAAGGCAATGATTTTCAGGCCTGAGGGTTCTGAACTAGTCCCTCTGTGAGTTAAATACATAACATGCATTCAATGCATAATAGCTACCTGCAGTAACAACCCCAAACACTATGCTCCAAACTGTGACAAGAATATAAACCTTATAAAATCCCTAGGAGAAGAGTCCTAGTAAATCCCTAGGAGAAAAAAACAGAAGTTAGAGACGTTCAAAGCTGACAGTAATTGACATTTTAATGTTAACTTGGTTAGTGTCCACTGTGCCACTGTGAATAAGGAAACGCTCTGTATTGGTTTTTCTAAGGGAGCAGACCAAGGGTGGTTGGGTCACGTCTCCAGGATCCTATGCCAATGACTCTAAGCTCTACCTTCCCTGTGCTGTCTCTCTGCTGGAATCACCTCCCTATGTCAACACAGAAAAGGTGGTGAGTCACCATAAGAGACAAAGAACGTGAATAGGAAGACCCCATTTTCTTGGGAGATGTGTAGACTCAGCAGAGAAAGCCTCACTGCACTGCCTTTACTGGAAAATGACCTGTCTGGATTTATTTTCAGCAAATTCTCTCCTTCTGGTCCCAGGTCTAACGGGAGTCATTGTTCCACCTTCTTAAGTACAGGACAAAGGCCGTGAGAGAACACTCTGCCCGGGACCTTGGAAAGCCAGGACTGCCATCTGGTTTCTTCTTTCAGACTTTCCATAGTTTACAGTGCATGGGATACAATTTGCCCCTGAGCATTCTGCCCTTGGAGTAAAGAGTGAAAGCACAACTTTTGGTCCTTCTGATGCTTTGCTGAAGGAAAGCCCTAGACTAGGATGACCCCAGCCAGGAAAGTTTCCCAAAAGAAAGTTGCAAAAACATGCTGGGCAGCCGGGCTTAGGGAACCAGTCACACCCTCTCAACTCTCTAGATTTTTAACTGAAATAAGACCAAACAAAGAGTTAAAGGGATATACAATAAAGGTTTGAGAGAGACTCATAATCTAGAATACTTCCATGGAAAGTAATCAAGAAGGTGAAATCCTTACTCGTTCAACTTAACCAAATTATTGTTGAAGAACATTCCTCCCAAGAGGCCTTTGAAGAATTTCATATAATCATTCACACACACACACACACACACACACACACACACACACACAACAATAAAAAAAAGTGACAAAAAATGAAAAAGAAAAAATCCTCAGGACCTAGCAAAATAAGGATACTATCAAGAGGAGCTGTGTTAAGAACAAAAATGCTCAATCGGAACATACAGAAACCAAAATGAACAACAATATTAGTGCAGACACATAAACATTCTCCATGCAGAACATCAAACGTGACCCATAATCAAATTTTCTTGAAATTGCTACTGAGAAACAGAATCACGACAGAAACGGCCTCGCTCCATTGCCTCCCTGAGACCTTGAACTGTCTGTTCTCTACACACAACCAGAGTAGTGCCTTGTTAAGAGAAGTCAGAGAGAGGCACTCGCTCTAACGGCATTTTATCTCCGAGTTCGATTCTTTCGCCCCTCTCAGAGAGCCTGGCAAGCTACTGAGAGTATCTTGCCCCCACGGCAAAGCCTGGCAAGCTACCCGTGATATATTCCAATATGCCAAACACAGTAACAACAAAGTCTCACAATGGAGACGTTACTGGGCCCGCTCGAGAAAATCGATGAACAACGGGAGGACAGTTGGTAACAGCAAACGTCAGAGCTGTTCCAGACCTCGCTTCAGCAGTCCTTGCGGGGGGGGGGGGGGGGGGTGTTCTCCTCCTTCCCCGCACACCTTGCTACCCCCCAATTCCTTGCACATGCTCAGTAATCAGGTTCCCAGGTCAGGACCTTCACAGGTGGTTTCCTCTAGTCTGCTCAAAATCACCCTCATTGCGAGGGAGCTTCCTGACACCCTCTTTAAAAAAGGTACAGTCCAGGGATTTGAGTGACCATACAGCAGGTTTACCTTGCATACGGCTGACCCAGGTTTGACTCCTGGCATCCCATATCCCCATCCTCGAGCACTGCCAGTAGGGATTCCTGAGTTCAGAGCAAGGAGTAACCCCTGAGCATCACTGGGTGTGATCCAAAACTTAGGTGGCATCTGACCCACCATGTTTGCTACTGCTTGTCTCCCCTGCTTAAAAATATCTTCTGGGGCTCCAGCGATCGCACAGCGGGTAGGGCGTTTGCCTTGCACACAGCTAACCTGGTTTCGATTCCCAGCATCCCATATGGTCCCCTGAGCACAGCGAGCTGTAATTCCTGAGTGCAGAGCCAGGAGTAACCCCTGTGCATCGCGAGATGAGACCCCCCCCTCAAAAAAAAATCTTCTTGAAGAGAAAGCCTTTGGCTGCTGTTTACCTCTGTTCCTGCACAACTGTGTCTCAGGCACACAATAAGGATTTTTCCATCTATAAATTTGCCCTCAATCCCCTTTTAGGGAACCTGGATCTTACGCAGAAAGGTTTGCACTTACTTGGCACAGCGCACCCAGTGTGTATGCCGGTACAAGGAATATAAGAAGCGCTGGCGGTACATGTTCCATATTTTGATGGATTTGTCTTCAGAGGCTGTAGCTAGATATTGACCATCGGCTGAAAAGTCTACACCACGAACTGGAGCTGTGTGAGCTTTGAATTCAGATGATTTCCCTTTCCTGAAAAGAAAGTTGCATATTTATAACTCATTTAATAATAAATAAGAGCTAACCAGTACCCCCCAAAATTGAAAATTTTTTAAAACACTAACATTTGGTGTGCAAACCAAGATTTTTGTCCAATATGGTTTCAAAATGTTTTTGTCATTTTTTTTTTTGCCTTTTTTGGGTCAGCAATGCTCAGGGGTCACTCCTGGCTCTGCACTCAGGAATTACTCCTGGCGGTGCTTGGGGGACCATATGAGATGCTGGGGATCGAATCCAGGTCGGTCGCGTGCAAGGCAAACACCCTACCCGCTGTGCTATCACTCTGGCCCCTGTTTTTGTCATTTTAAAGTCACAACCCACAATTAACATGGTGGTCCCCTTTGGTTTAATTGGAGGCTAGAAAATCACTTCTGTGCATTTAGATTCCTGATGTTCCTCTAAAAACAGCACCATGTCGTTTACATAATTGCAACCTAGGGGCCAGATCTATAGTGCAGTGGGCAGGGCATCTGCTTTGCATGCAGCCAACCTGGGTTTGATCCCTGGCACCCACTATGGTCCTCCAAGACCTGTCAGAAGTTATCCCTGAGTGCAGAGCCATGAGTAAGCCCTTAGCACAGCTGTGTGTGGCCCGCAAACAAAAACAAAACAACAAAAATAATCTGCAACCTAGAACTAAGGTTCATAGACTAAGATCAATAGATCCAAGGTAGTATTTCTAAACTCCTGTATGGATTGGGAGTGTGGGTTTGGAAAGAGATGATGGTTTCTGTTCTATTTCCCTCTAAATAGAACATCCCTGCGGAATCTGATTTTCCATTCCCCTCTAAGTTTTCACCCTTCAGCCATGGGATCCCTGGTATGTATTTAAGGCTTTCTTACTCACTCCTGGACCCCACCTTAAATTCACACAAAACCAAGGATAGATGGTAATGTCATTTTCAGTTCTCTTGACATGTCAGATGGAAAAATTATTTTCTTTGCTATGGTACGAAAAGGAGAATATGGAAAAAATGACAAAGATAATGTGCAGGTGTGACACCAAGGCAAAAATAATGAAAAGTAGAGATCACAGCCAAAGAGCTGCAGGTAGCATTTGAAAAATGATCTGCTGTCAGCGTCCCATGTGCCATGGAATCTGCACTCTAGGCTACACCTAGGCTTAGCAGGGTTTTCACTCAGAGCATCTTGTTTACAGATTCTACCTTACGGGGGAAATGGCTATAGTTTTTTAATAAAGAATAATTCTCCAGTTTTATTTTTTTTATATATATGTATGGGGTGGAGCTATAGCACAGCGTTTGCCTTGCACGCAGCCAACCCGGGTTCAATTCCTCTGCTCCTCTCAGAGAGCTGGGCAAGCTACCGAGAGTATCCGGCCTGTATGGCAAACCTGGCAAGCTTCCCATGACATATTCAATATGCCAAAAACAGTAACAAGTCTCACAATTTGTTGAGATGTTACTGGTGCCCACTCAAACAAATCGATAAACAACGGGAGGACAGTGCTACAATACAGTGATATATATATATATATATATATATATATATATATATATATATATATTTAGGACTGGAGTGATAGCACAGAGGTAAGGCGTTTGCCTTGCACGTGGCTGACTTGGCTGACCCAGGTTCGATTCCTCCACCCCTCTTGGAGAACCCAGCAAACTACCGAGAGTATCTTGCCCGCAGGGCAAAGCCTGGCAAGCAACCTGTGACATATTCAATATGCCAAAAACAGTAACAACAAGTCTCACAATGGAGACATTACTGGGCCTACTCAAGCAAATCGATGAAGAACGGGAGCACAGTGCTACAATGCTACAGTACATACATACACACACACACACACACACACACACACACACACACACATGAATATATTTGCTTTTTGGGTCATGCCTTATGGTCAGGGGTTTCTCCTGGCTCTGCACTCAGGAATTACTCCTGGCGGTGCTTGTGGGACTATATGAGATGCCAGAGATCAAACCCGAGTCTACCCCGCCCTACTCGCTGCGCTATCACCCAGGCTGGCTGTAGCTTCTTCTGATTTAGGCAGCGCAATGAGCAGAAGTCAGGAAGTTCCAATCATCCTCCACTCTTCCCACATCTAAGAGGTAAAAACTTATCTTCATCACTTCCCAAATATCTTTTGGGTCTCCCCTCTTCTGCATCCCAGCTACACTTGCACTGAAACAGACATGCCCTCAACATCCTTCTCCCAAATTACCATAAATGCCCTTAATTTACTGATCCCCCATCCCAATGGTCCATACCTCCCATCACTTAAAGGTTGCTCATTTTTTGTTACCAGTTAACCTCCAAGGAGAAGCACAATGTCCAAACTCTTGGTAAGGCCCCCAGCCATTGTGCTAAACTTTGTACTCTTAATACCCTCAAAGGTCTTGAAACAAAAACCTCTGTCTCTGTACTTTCTCCTTTTCCTTGATCCACCCACACAGGTTTAATTGCTCCTGAGCTGCTTTTATCTTTGGCTTTTGACAAAACAGAGATGTTTCTTTTTTATTAAACACTAAGAACTGTTTTTTTAGTTTTGGGTCACAGCAATGCTCAGGGGTTACTTTTGGCTCTGCACTCAGGAATCACTCCTGGTGGTGTTCAGGGGATCAAACCCAGGTCAGCAGTGTTCAAGGCAAGTGCCTTACCCACTGTACTATACTCAGATTCCAAAACACTGACTTTTTAAAAAAAATAATTCTTTTTTTTTTTTTGCTTTTTGGTTCACACCCAGGGATGCACAGGGGTTACTCCTGGCTCTGAACTCAGGAATTACTCTTAGCGGTGCTGGGGGGGACCATATGGGATGCTGGAAATCGAACTCGGGTAGGCTGCGTGCAAGGAAAACACCCAACCCGCTGTGCTATCGCTCCAGCCCCTTAAAATAATTTTTTATTAAAGCACCATGACTTATAAAGTTCTGACAGCTGGTTTTAGGCATACAATTCAACACCAATCCCTCCACCAATGTCAACTTTCCTACACTAGTGTTCTAGATTCCCTCCCCACCCCAACTGCTTCACCCCCATCTGTCTTGACAGGCACATTACAAAGTTTCAGTGGTTGCCACTTAGATGTTATATTTTCAGTTTTGTTGAGTCTGTGTTTTGGATATAGGCTATACCCATCACTCATATCACTAGTATAACCCGATGCCTGTTCACCATTCTCATTCTCTTCTTCCCCACTTGATTTATTTCCTTCTCTGTCAACCTCCTCTCTAAACACTGAGGTCAAGGGTGATCTTTTACTACACTACATTTCTGCACCCAGTATTCTATATTCCACAGATAAGTGATGACATTCTGTTTGTCTTTCTTCTTCTGGCTTACTTCACTCAACATATCTTTCAGTTCCAAACATGTTGCAGCAAATTGCATGATTTCATCATTCCTTGCAGCTGTATAGTACTTCACTTTGTATATACCTCATCTTTATAATCCATTCATCATTGGACACCTATCTTAGCTATTGTACTGAGTGCAGCAATGAGTAATGGTGTGTACATGTCCTTTGGAGAGAGAAAAACACTAAGCAGTTTTAAGGTCAGAAATGACTTATTAATCTGCAAAACTAGCAGCATGTAGTATGATGAGAGTTACACAGAATTGTAATACTTTTCATTGAATTCCTCTCAAAAGAGTTAGTATTGAAGAATAGTTACAGGTCCCGCGAGCCATACCAGTGGCCTGCACAATGCAAAGGTGATTGCCATATATCTCCATCACCTAATATTATACCATGAATAACCAATTTTTGTTTATATATATATCTGCATATATGTATGTAAATGTATAGAGATATATATACAGATATATATATAGTGAAATTTCAAGGGAAAGTTCTATGAAAAGCATTCACAGTCTGACCTGCATTTAAGTGTAAGTCCTAGAAAAAAAAAGATTGACCTCTGCTATGATGAAAGCGAAGAAACCATTATCATCAAAATCTGCCCTGTTCTTGAGTTCCACACTCCACACTCCTGCCTTCTCTCTGAAAGGCACTCCTCTCTTCTCCAGCCTGGTCAGGCTCCACAGGAAGCAGAGAGGTAACTGAGAGCAGTGATTGGGGCTTCCTGTGTTGGTGCTGACCCAATTTCTAGGTCCTCATTATGCTTTCTATAGGCTGCATCTCCTACACACCTGCCCTTTCTTCCCAAATTCTCTTGACTCTGATGAACTCCAGGCAGACTTGCTTCTATACTTGACTCTACTATTCTTCCGTCAACTTCCAGTTACCCAACTGTTGGCATCTGTCTGTTAACATCTGCCTCCACTCCATCTCATCCCTGAATACTCCCTAGTCCTCCATATAGGAAGCATAAGAGATGTCCCTGTCTCTCTAGATGTGAGTTGGTGCTGTGACTTAATTTGACCAAGATCAGGGTAGAAATTTTACTTTATTTTAAGTTGCAGGCATAGCTATTTAAAGGTCTAGCAGCTGCTGCATTTGCTCCCCTAGAACACAGCTGTGATACTTCACGAAGTCTTCATTCTGATAGAGAAAGAGTCAAAGGAGGAAAAATTTGTCCCAGCTCAGACACAGTACCAGGGCCCCAGAGAGAGTGAAGTCGGTCCTACTGTCCGCTTAATGAAGTAGCCCAAAATAGAGCAAATATCAAATGGGGCCGAACATTTTTCCATATAACCCACAATACTATAAGGAATGTTAGCTACTGTTTTGCAAATTGGCGCATAGCATTGCAGAAGTAACATACTCTTTCCTACTGTTGTGGCAAACCACTATTGTCTTGGCCCCATTATGATGTGATCTAGAAAGAGGAGTCATCCATACAAGCCAAAATGTGTTTGTGTATACACAACACAACCTCAGGTTTCTGTAAGTAAAAGAAATCTCAGTGAAAAAAAACTATTAAGATAGATGAGTTAAAGATGAGTTAAAAGCACACTAACTCATTGATTTATGCTGGCTAATATATATAATATGCAATATAACAATTTCTCATATTGTCTTATTAGTATATTAATACATCAATATTGTACAATTATATATCATATCAGTAGACTGTTATATTTACTGCTCAAGTATACATAATAGACATATAACTAATATATAAACTATTATATATTGTTTAAATGATTTATATAAATTTATCCTCAATATATGTAGCACTGTAGCACTGTCCTCCCGTTGTTCATCGGTTTGCTCAAGCGGGCACCAGTAATGTCTCCATTGTGAAACTTGTTACTGTTTTTGGCATATCAAATACGCCACAGGGAACTTGCCAGGCTCTGCCATGCAGGCGAGATACTCTTGGTAGCTTGCTGGGCTCTCCGAGAGAGATGGAGGAATCAAACCTGGGTTGGCCGGGTGCAAGGCAAACACCCCGCTGTGCTATCACTCATAACATAAATAGATATGCAATATGTATTATATCTCTATATAGATATGTCTATATATAACTTATAGTATATGTATAAGTTCTATATAACCTACATACTATATGTACATATACATATAAAATATACTTGTTTATACACCCTCATAAATAGTAGATATATTTAATTATATATAAACCAACACAAATCAACAAGTGTTTTTTGACATCTAACCAAAATTTTTATTATTTTCTGTTTTTTAATGTTTTAATTGTTTTTATAAAGTTGTTCACTGTAACTTATTGCATTCAATATTCCAATACTGATCCCACCACTATTACACCTTTCCATCACCATTATTTCAAATTTTCCCAGCCACCATCCAAGCCTGCCCCAATAGCAAGCTCTAAATAATTTATATTATGGGCCCGCTCGAGCAAATCGATGAACAACAGGAGGACAGTGCTACAGTGCTACTTGTTATGAATAATCCACTAAAAATGATCCAGAAAAGCTTCCTTGGAAGAAAGTGTGAAGATTGCTGTATCTCACCCTGGAGCCATTAAGCCCTTGTATAAGAGATTACTAACGTGTTGTTATATGCTGAACCTTGTGTACTAGTATTTTTTTCATTTTAATCAAGATCCATTGCTTTCTACTTTACACCCCATCCAATGTGTACTCCGCATCCATCAGTGGTATAGAGTATGAGATGTTTCGCAGCCACAAATGCAGCTGCGTGCTTCAGGAAGTCTAAAATTTTACATAGGGTGATACAGCTAGGGTTATTTATTTATTTATTTATTTATTTGCTTCTTGGGTCACACCCGGTGATGCTCAGGGGTTACTCCTGGCTCTGGACTCAGGAATTACTCCTGGTAGTGCTCAGGGGACCATATGGGATGCTGAACACTGAACCCAGGTCGGCCACATGCAAAGCAGATGCCCTACCCACTGTGCTATCACTCCAGACCCAAGAGTTAAATTTTTAACTGGATGGTGACTTTGAAGTCTGAAAGCATCTTTGCAGCTTGTAGCTCTCTTCTGAGATTTTTTTGTGAGTTTCTTGGTCATGGCCATTAATGACCTTATATGGCAGCTCATGGGAATGGCTGCCAGGCTCCTGGAAGAACAGGAAGATGGGGGGAGGTCACCTATTCCTGACTGCTGAAGAGCCTGGAGATTTCAGTCACAAAACTCGCATACCTGAATTTTTCAACAGATTTACTCATGGATAAGGCTCCCCCTAAGCCTGTGAAGATTGGCTGTGAGTATGGAGGCAATTGGGTCCTGGAGGTTTTCTGCTGTCAGGCCTCTGTTGAGGCAGGTGGTGAGCTCTTCCTCCCCATTCCAGGATACTCCAGATGAGACTCAGACTTGCACAGGGTCTGGAGGCATCTCTACAGCTTGTTGATTTCTTCCGAGATTTATTTGCGAGTCTTGAGTTAGTGTATTTTTAACTCATCTACCCAAATAATTTTTTCACTGATATTTCCTTGAACTACTCAGAAGACTGAGATTGTGTTTTATTAGAGGTAGTGCAACCCCTGTTCCTAAATTCCCAAAGAAAAGATTTTAGAAACTGCTTTCCCTTTTGAAACCCTAAACTGTCTATTCCCCTTATCATTTCCTGCTACACTGCCATCCACAGTCAGGACAGCAAGTCACTTCTCTGCAATAGTTTTTACTATTATCCTGACACCCATATTTCTCAGCATGGAGTTTCCCTTGGGTAATAGCAGAGGGGAAAAAAGGGCTTACTAGTAGCAGAATGTTCTTCAAACATTCTTTCCTTGTATCTGAGTCTGGTTAGTTATAGACAATAAATCTTATCACAACAGAGTAAAAAAATATGTTAAATCCAAAAGAACAAAAACAACTAGTACTGGCATGAACGTGAGGAAAAGGAACCCTCATCAACAGCTGGTGGCAATGGTGGCCGGTTTTTCAATCATTTTTGGAAATCAACACAGACACTTCTCAAAACATTAAGAATTAAACTTCCATGTAACTCACAATTCCACTTCTTGACATCTACCCAAGAGCCCAAACAGTCTATAGAGGAAAGAGATTTGCACATAAGATTGGACAGAGAAACTGGGGTGTATATATATACAATGGAATAATACTCAGCTGTAAGAAAAGATGAAATCATGCTTTTTGTTGCTACGTGTATGGATCTGAAGAATATCATACTAAGTGAAGACAGAAAGTGAAAAGACACAGAATTACCTCTACAATGTATGGGATAAAATGAGATTATCTGAGGGCAATAACAAGTGACCAAGGAGAGCCTGTGGACTGGTCTAGAGAACTGAGCTGACCCTGGCAGGCATTCAGAGTACTCCCATGGAGGGGCTGGTATTGTGGCATTGCATGTGTGAAGGCCTTTTGTGAAGAGTGTTGTAAATCACGTGGTGCCTACATTTCTTTTGATTCAAAGACTTAGTAAGAAAAATGCTCAAAGTTTTATTTTCTGAAGAGTTTAGAGAATACTAAATGGAGGGAAGTCAGTTAAAAAAAATTCCAACGAAAGTAAATCTGAGGAGGGAGCAGGGATGACATAAAGCCACCAGGATGCTAATAAATGTCGAATCTGGATGCTAAATATGAAAAGGGAGAGTTGTACTATATATTGTTTTTATAATGTAAAGTGGGCTGGAGCAATAGCACAGTGGTAGGGCATTTGCCAGCCCGGCCGAGCCGGGTTCGATTCTTCCACCCCTCTCTGAGAGCCTGACGAGCTACCGAGAGTATCTCGCCCACAAGGCAAAGCCAGGCAAGCTACCCATGACATATTCGATATGCCAAACACAGTAGCAATAAGTCTCAAAATGGAGATGTTACTGGGCCCGCTTGAGCAAATTGATGAACCATGGGAGGACAGTGTTTGACAGTGTTGAATACAAAGTAGAATTTTTATATACAACTTATATATATAAATTTTATATAATTAGAGTGCAAAGATTTTTAAAAATCATAGTTCAATAATAGATGGGCTACTGGCCTGTGTTTCAAAAGTTTCTTGTACATGTTATAACAGGATGACATTACACAAGTGAAATAATACACACTTTTATTAGAAATTTTCTTTTAATAAGAAAAGTTGGAGGCCATTAATTAATTATATGCATCAAAGAATAGTTCTTACATAGGGGTTTTTATTAGGTGAAAAGTTCCCAAGAATTCCATGTATGAATATTAGATTGATTAAAAATGAAATTTTGATCACACCAGCTAACATATTTTTAGGATGAAACAATCAAAAGTTGACATCAGATCTGTAAAGGGATCAGATTTACAAAGGGATCCGATGCTACCCACCTCCAAAAAAATATAACCCTTAAACTCATATTTTCAAGGTTAGATATAGTTTCACACAGAACATAACTGCAAATTAAAGCAGACGGGGAAATGGTATGAAAAGTTAGACTGTATGCCAGGGCAGCACACCTTGCATGTGACTCCAACTAAATATGGTGCAAGAAAACAAGAGTTCACATGCTTCTGAGAAATGAACAAAGAGCCTGTTCCTGTTTTCTTTCACATTTTTTGTTTGTTTTTAGGCCACCCCAGCAGTGCTTAGCGCTTACTCCTCGCTCTGTGCTCAGGGATCACTGCTGAACCCAGATTGGCCATGTGCAAGGCAATTTTCCTTATCCACTATACTATCACTCAGGCTCTTCTGCATCTCTACATCCACAGCTTATTAGGGGTTTTCTTCTCTTACTTATCGGGAATCCAGAGTCTAACGGTTCTGTCTCGTGAAGCAGATGCCAGTAAGTTTCCAACTGGAGAGAACTGCACACTGGTGACCACGTCCTTGTGACCCACATATCTGAAAGCGCGAGCTTGAGGCCTGAAATTCCATAGCATGAGAAATGTATCCCAGGAAGCAGTGGCTGTCAAGAAATAGAACAAAACCATCGTTTGTTAAAATGCAGAAGTGGGAACGCAGGGTGTCAAGGGGCAGCATATCCAATGACCAGGCACCCAAGTAATGGAGGCTTGGGATTGTAAGGTGAACTGGGTGATGGCAAAAAATACTTCTAAACGAAACCCAAAGCCGTAGCGCTAAATATGCAAGCTTGGCTGTCTCCTGTGTAACCCCAGAGCAAGACACCCAGCCTCTGTGTTCCATTAGTGCTCAGTCACTACAGAAGGTGTCAGCTCGCCATCTGGAAAGAGTACCCAAGGCGAAGAGTCAGTTCTGCAACTGTCTCTTGGGATGACTGAGAAAGTCACTTAACTCTGTCACAAGGACCACTGTTTTTGGAGAGAAGCCTGAGACGACTTTTAAAAACAAATTTCACTGTAAAAAAAAAAAAAAGTTTTTGCACTGCGATTTATAACACTGCTAATGTTAGGGTTTCACGAATAATACAATGCAGCACCACACCCTTCAACAGAGTTCCACTTCCTTCCACCATTGTCCTGGTGTCTCCCCTGCCCCTCCCCCAATCTCTCCCTACTTTCTACTAAAGACCAGTTCTCAGTTTCTTGCTTTCTACTAAAGACCGGTTCTCTGTTGCTTTTGAGCATTTGCTATACCCTTACTTTGTTCTTTATATTCCACATTCTATGCCTCTCCCTCTTCCAACTAACTTCACTCAGCATGACAAGCTCCAGACCCAACCATGTAACAGCTAATTGCATGATTTTATTGTTTCTTGTAGCTAAGTAGTCTTATATTTGTATTTGTACCACAGTTTTTTAATCCAGTCATCTCTTTTTGAACATGTGTGGTGTTTCCAGTTTTGGCTACTGTGAATAGAACTGCATTGTCTTTTCTGACTGTTCTCTGGGCATCTCATATCAGTAAGACGGGCAAACATCAGAAAGAACAATAACAGCTTGTGTCAGCGTGGGTGTGGGAAAAAAGAACCTCATCCACTGCTGGTTGCAATGTCAACAGGTTCAGTTTTTTTTAAAAAAACAACATGAACACTGCTCAAAAAAAAAAAAACACTAGAAATTGAGGGCCTGAGTGACAGTATAGCAGGTAGGGCACTTGCCTTGCATGAAGCCAGCTGGCGTTTGATCCCTGGCACCCCATATGGTTCCCAGGAGCTCTCTGGAATGAACACTGAAAACACAGCTGATGTCACCACCACCACCAAAACCCCAAACAAACAAAACCCTAGAAACCGAGCTTCCATATGACCCAGCAATCCCAATTTTTGGCATCTTCCCCTGAGACAACTTTTCAAAGCTGTTCCTGGGCCAGGGGCTTGGTTCAGGGGCAGAGTGCCCGCCTTCCTTCTTGGCCTGGGAAATGCATCCTGCCATTCCCTGCAACTCTGCTTTTGGCAATTCCCTGTTCCAGAACAAAGTGTGCCGTTTCCACACATAAGCCGGTGTGTGTGAGCACATGAGCAAAGTGTGCAAACACTATAATGAAGTGCAGGGCCTCTGGTCATAACAATGACAAGAGCGAATGAAAGGAGAGGGAGCAAACTTCGTGTGCAAAGAAACTTCACACTTAGTAAACAGTATAAAGAATATTATTATTACTATTATTATTATTATTATTATTATTATTCTGTTTGGGGGCCACACCCAGTGATGCTCGGGAGTTACTCCTGGGTCTGAACTCAGGAATTACTGCTGGCAGTGCTCAGGAGACCCTGTGGGATACTGGAGATCAAACCGGGGCCAGCCACGTGCAAGGCAAACACTACCCACTGTACTATTGCTCTGACCCATTAGAAGCATTATTATACCTTTTATCACATCCACCTGTTTCCATTATTTTGCCCCATTTGAGTTATAATTTTTTTCTGCACGTGTGTGTGCTTGTTCTCTTTCCAGACACAGAAATTGTGTACAGAAAACACACATGCAAAACACAAATACACAGAGTTCTTTTTCCTAAATTATTTAAGGGTAAGAACAGCGCAGAGTCTCCTGCTTCCATGCCTGGCTGTCCTCACCGGGGCCCCTTGGAGGAGGGTGGGTTGAGTTTCCCTCCCCACCCCGAGCAGAGCTCTGGCAGCTGAAGACCTCTGGTTCCAGTCACAACCATGCATAAGATCACTTTCCACACATTCAGACGAGCCTCACACATGAAGGAACCGGCAGAGGAACCCAGGCGTGTGGGACCCAGAGTGTAGATCTCCAACTCTGCTTGGACTGGGACTGGGGCCTCCTCCACCCAGATTCCCCATCTTCCAGTATGTAGGCGTTACACCCACCAAATGCCCCCCGCGCCATGTAATCCCATCAACAGTTAAGACCTAGAGACTATAAAACCCTGCTCCAGGAAGCACGCGGCTGCATTTGCAGCCCAGTGACATCTTATTATCAAGTTTCAAATCTGAAGAGCCTGGCCAGACTACCAAAAGTATCCTGCCCACACGGCAGAGTCTGGCAAACTCCCTGTGGTGTATTCAATATGCCGAAAACCAGCAACAATGTGGGTCTCATTCTCCTGACCATGAAAGAAACTCAAATGTGGCACTTTTTAAAATCTCAGGGCTAGGACAAAGGAGACTTATTGGGGCCTGCTCGAGGCAATTGACGAACAACAGGATGACAGTGATACAGTGATTTAAAAGTAAGTATATGTATGAGGATGGCACATTTATTCCTAAATATTTCAGTGTGCATTTGTCTAAGATGAAAGATATTGTTTTATTAAAGGTATTCTTTTACACATACATAGCAGTTATCAACTTCAGGATATTTATCACTGGCAATGCCTAAATTTACCAATTATATTCTAGTTATGTCTATTCTTAGTGCGATTTATAGCTTGAAACGGTGATCTTTAAAGTCTCTTTCTGGAATGAGAGATAGTAAAGGGGTTAACACTCGCTTTGTAACCAGGTTTCAATCCCCAGCACCAAACATGTTCCCCCAAAACACCACCAGGGGTCACTCCTGAGCACAGATCCAGGAATAGTCCCTGAGCACAGCCATGAGTGGTCCACAGTCTCCCTCTCCTTCCAGCTTGCCAACCTCCACCAAATCTCTTTCTGCTGTTGTTTTATGACATTCTATTAACTGTTAAGAGAATAATGTATGTCAGATATTAACCTGAAGGTCTGAAGAAAAGGATTCCAATTCAATTAACAGTGGGGAGAAAATGCTTGAACAAAGAATGAAAAAATTAAAGATTAATGTACTCTTACTCCAAATCAGATTTTTTTTCTTGGTTTTGGGGCCACACCAGGCAGTGCTCATGACTTACTTCTGGCTCTGCAATTAGCAGATCATTCCTTGTGGGCTTGGGGAAACCATGTGGGGTGCCAGGGATTGAATTCAGATCAGCCATGAGCAAGTACCCTACCTTCTGTGTTATGTCTGCGGCCCCCCAAACCAGACATAATAGTTGTAGTCCCAAAATGTAGTGCCAAAATAACTGGAAGCAAGTCAACCAGAATCACAAAGTCAAGAAAGTAGAATGTTTGGGGGGAAGTGCAACATTCTAAATTTGAAATGAAAGTCAGAAGAGAAATACAAAGTCATTGAATAATTTGTAAGTTCTTTGACATAAGTAAAACTACTTTGGATTTAGTCTATACTGCTTTCATGTAAAATAGTTGAAATAAATTTGTAAGTTTCAAGCAATACTATCCCCCTTTAAAAATGTGTAAAATTCTGGTTTCCCACATAGTTCATCCAATTAATAAAATTCCAGGGTCTGAATTATCTGGAGCTAATGAAGGTAAAATAAAGAAATTAGTGGATTTTTATATGCATTATGCTCAGGACTCTATTTGAGTTCTTACATATTATGTTGTAAGCAAAAACTACAAAAGAATGTAACATAATCCTTTACCTAAAAGACAGCCCTGGGTATTTAAAGTATTTCGTGAAATGATACTTGTATCTCAGAGGAAACAGTCAAGTGTAGTTACAACATAATATGAAGATAAACACTGACTTTGCCCTACTGTGGGGAGAAACAACTAGATAATAATAATTAAAAAAAGTAGCTGGCATCACTTAGGAAGAGAATATAAATAAAGCAGAATGTGGAGGTACTTAAATTTGAGAGAAAGAGCAAAGGAAAAAGCTATAAATGAAGTAGTAGGAAGCAAGTTTGTGTTCTCCAGAAACCTGACATGTATTCCAAGAAGGGGATGAGCTCTGTCAAATGCTTGGAAGAAGCTGAATAACTAAACTAGTTTATTGACTAGGTTTAGCTACATGAGTTGTGGGTCCCGGGGTAAAAGATGAATATGAGGTCCTTATAGAAATATATTGAGAACTTCAGGGCAATGACAGCAGGGCCTTGAACTAAGCATGATTGCCTCTGTGGCTACATAAGCATAGCCTCAGGCGTGAGAACCAGACAGTGATTTGGCAGTAAGAACTATCTCAGTAAAGCACTGGCAAAAGAGGTGGAATGGTGAGGGTGGAGAGAAACTGGGAGGAAATGAGCAAAGTGAGTTGTTATAAACAACTGATTCATTCACTCACTGAAGTAGTTAACAAGGTCTGCAACACTTAGTATGATTTAAAAAAAAAAAAAAGGAAGGGACATAGGTTCATATGGAAACCATCAGTTGGGGTAAAAAGCAAATAAGGGCAGGAAGCTAAAGGGGCTAGAGAGACAGGAGAGGGGTTAAGACACTTGCCTTTCACCCAGCTGACTCAGGTTCGGTCCCTGGCACTGCATAGGGGTCCCAGGAGTGATCCCTGAGAACTGAGCCACCAGTGAGCCTGAGCACAGCAGGGTGTGCCCGCTCAAAATAAATCAACAACACAAGAATCCTGAAACTTCCTTGATACAGCAAAGTCTTCTAAAATCCCTGAGCAATGAGAGGGGTAGAGTTATAAGACCAGTGGAAAGAGCCCAATCCACCCTTACCCACCCTACACTCTCTCTCTCTCTCTGTATATATATATATATATATATATTGCTTAATCAAGAAAGTGACAGAATTTGAGACTT